GCTGCATTGGTGCAAATCGTACTGTTATCACACCCAGTGATTACTCACACTGTATTTGCTCTTGAACTGTTAAGAGTAAATGGGCATTATTTGAATCAAGGATTTTTTTATGTTACTGCTGCATTGGTGCAAAGCGTACTTGTTGCCAAGCCCAGTGATTACTTAAAGTGTATTTATTCTTAACCCGTTAAGAGTTGTAAATGGGCATCATTTGAACCAAGATTTCTTTGTTACTATTGCATTTGCTGCATAGTGTACTGCTGTAAATCTCAGTGATTACTCCTTAACCTGTTAAGGGTAAATGGGAGTAATTTGAATGAAAGATTTTATTTGCTGTATTTAACTCGCACGAACATGTTAACAAATATTCTGAATTTCATTTTTCAATATCTCAACTAATACCAGATATAATTGTTAAAGTCATTGGTGAGGGGATGGTGCGTCTCTTTTTAGTAAATCGATTAATAGTATTTAGCTTGTATGGCGCCATTAAAGGCTGTGGTATCACAAAAAAGTATTGCCGTTTGTTTCTAACTCCTGATTTATTAAGGCTTTACCTACATTGACTTACAATTGTATGGACGTCGGGTCCGCGCTAAAAAGTGTCCGCACTTGTAAGGCGCTAAAATCGTATACAGAGCGCGACACTCCGCTTTAGTCTTCATTTGTTCTACTGACAGCGCGATACTGCGATGACATTACAATTTAAATTTTGAATAGGTTGACTTGGGACATTTTTTTCGTGGTTTTTGTATTAGACCCGTCGTCCATTTATTTGTAAGTCAATGTTTACCTACTTTATTTTTCAAAGAATTTCTATTGTGTTTTTGATTGAAAAATAAACTTCAGTTGTTGTATAGATAACATATCGAGCTTTAGAAAAATAACGATCGGTCTTCTTTGTCACTCATGGCTTTGTGACATTTTGTGTCTGACGTGGGACGGAAACGGAAACGACAAGTCGGAATGTAGTCGATTTTGGTCGTATACTTTTTTTTTCTAAACTCGATGTGTAACATTTGCGACCAGTCATTGCAATTATGTATTTTAATAGACTTTGAATGGGCGAATAGTTTTTTTATTTACTTGAACCAAAAGCAAAACATTTGCGACATCAATCAGAATATGTATAATGTTTTTTATGGTGCGATTATTTTGATCATACGGCTGTAATATATTTTATATTTGCTATATATACATAAATCATTGTAATGAAGTAAACAATTTGTCTTAATTTTTGTAGCCTTAGCGTTAGGTTATGGTGTTTTGAGCACTCTGAACACGTGGCAAGTGTTGAATAGCATCTTAAGTAGAGCATGACGTAACGGGTGTGCCCATGTTATGCTGGTACAAAAAGTAAGTAAAATGATAAAAACACTGGCGTAATGTAGTCACTGTTTCGCTACAGCCGCGCCACTACAAATTTTCATACAATATTCATAAACGCAGTTGCAGGACCGCTGTTGTGACACGCGCGCCCCATTTGCAGTCACACTTACAAGGCCTACCACTTAACTGAGTCTGTTTCTGAGGTAGCTGCGCGGTGCGGGAGGAGTGACAGTTTACGTAATAGTCGTGTCGCGCTACACACGGCATAATTTAGTAGTTGATTGAAAATAATGCCTACCAAATTCGTCAATTGTTATGTGAAACGATAATAAAAAAAATTGATAAATGAAATTTCAATCAACTTGTTACTGAATATCGTCACAAAAATCTTGTTGAAATTATCCCGTGTATAGCGTGACATACCTCAGGAAACAATTAAGCGGTAGGCTTGGTAAACTAAAAATTACTGAAGCGCTACAGGCGCGCTTCTACAAGCGTGTAATTTAAACGGACCTTGATGCGTCGTTTCATCTCGCTTCGTGTTCAGTATGAAGCAAAACATTTTTATCGTGCATGAGCCATTAATTGTTTGCTCAGTAACGCGGTCGTAACTTTACTGTAGACGGTATAGAATTGTTGAGATTAGATAATTATTGGTTTTGTATATCAAAGAAATACATGATCTAAAACAATACTAGATAAAAGTTCCTTTAAGTGTTGCAACTACACTTACCAATAATTTGAACGTAATGAACACTCCAGCTGCTGTTTGCGGACGATGAAATTATACTTTAGTAGTTCTGCCATCGTTAGTTGAAAGAAAAAAAAAAATATAGTGTCAGGTCGGCATTTTTTTACTTGTCACGGCAGTATACCTACAGAACAAATTTTTTGAAAAAATTTCACATACGCTCATATCGACTAACGGCGGCAGATTTGGGTGCCTAATTGTAGTCTTAACCTTAGTGTCCACTCTTGTAATTTTACAGGGTCGCAAAGGGATCTACGTACTTTATTTATGAGAAAGTGTCCTTGTCACTGAACAATTTTATCCAGGAATAAAATATAACACACAAATTTTTCGGTGTAATGGGCACTTTCTTGCCCCAAAGTAGTGTTATGCCGTTTACTAAAACAATCTATATGCGAAAAATGGAAACAGCAAAATTCTCATTTTTCAATTTGTCGCGGCCAAACTCGAAAAAATTAAAGTATAAGCGTGAACTCTAAAAACTTAGTTTCCGAAACC